AGTATACGGGGCTGGCAACCTACCCACTGAGCCACAGGCACCGCCTCCCCTCAGTCATTTTCTAAAACTTATCTACTTGTCTCTTCCTGTGTTATGGTTTGAAATCTCAGATGTCTCTTAGTTTCACTACAGATAGGTTTTGTGTTTCTCATTCTTCTGTATGTTTGAGGTGTTTTTCAAAAGGGAAAGTCAGTGATGAGAATATTTGACCTCACCATCTGGAAAGCAGAAATGCTATTTTCCCTTTTTATCAGCATAGATGAATATTTGGTGTGTGCTTGTTTATCCTTTTGATTTTCCATTGGTGTGAATTATCTAATAATACCTTTCAAAGGACAAATTCCTTAACAATTATCACAAACCACAGAAGTTCTAGTGCTTATTTTTCTCACTTGTTTCCTCTGAGATGGTGATGGGGCTGGTGTTTGGGATGACTGGCATCCACAGTTATCTGCTCTCATTTTCAGATTGCCTCACTCCTGTGATGGCCGTGAACGTGCTCACCCAGCAGGAGGTCCCTGTTGTGATCATGGCCAAAGCTGACTTTGAAGGCTCTCTAGATTCAAAAATAGGTAAGCTGCTGTTAAAATGTAATCACATTAATATATTTTGCAGTTTTAAGATCAAAATACTCACCTCTTACTATCTCTTGCTATCATTGGAAAAAGCTGACTGTTGGTTTCCATGATCTGTTTTGCCTCTGATAAAAAAGAAATACCCCTTCATATGATCATCCCTTATTTAAGAAGTCTGTTTTGAAAATATACTAAGTGTACTGTACCTTCCTACTTGCTAGTGAGAATAATATAAAAAAATCTGAACTATAAATCTTTCCAGTAGGGTTAGTTGGTGATACTTGTACATATAATGTGGGGAATAATGTACTCAGGTGAAAATCCAATTTCAGAAATCATAGAACCAACAGCAACTGCTGAGATGGGGGTTCAAAGCACAAATGATCAATGTGGGCTGGGTTTTTGGTGAAGGCTTTGTGGAGGAGGTGAACTTGAGCTATTCAAGAAAAAGGATTGTGAAATAGCAGTAAAATTGAAGGCATATTTAGAACTGTAAATTGGATGTCCTTGGCAGCCTTACTCATTCGTGAGCGTTCTAAACTATCGTCATGGAACAGGAAGTCTGAGAACGAACAAAGAGATGGGAACCTAGAGACAGCTTGTCCAAAATCTGCTTCCTTTAGGACAGACCCATGCATCTCTCTTCACCAACATTCCTACTGTAGATTCCAGCCTGTCTCCAAAGAACTTTGCATAGGAAGTTACTTCCACACTATCTCCTAGCACACTGAAGTAGTAGCATTTCTTTTTCTTAATTTTTTTTTGAGACAGTCTTACCCTGTCACCCTAGGTAGAGTGCCATGGTGTCATCATAGCAACCTCAAATTCTTGGGCTCAAGCAATCGTCTTTCCTCAGTTTTTCAATTTTTAGTAGAGTCAGGGTCTCACTCTTGTTCAGACTGATCTCGAATTCCTGAGCTCACGCAGCCCACCTGCCTCAGCCTCCCGGAACACTAGACAGGCGTGAGCCACAACATCTAGCCAATATTTCTTATTATATTCACTCCTTTTTCCTTTATACTGCTTAGATCAGTTTTTGATGAAGTGGCTTAAAGCAATATCAAAGAAGAAAACTAATAAGTTACTCTCTTTTGACCATTTTAAAAAGTATGTTGTTTAAAAAAATAATTTCTTCTGTTACTTTTCTGCATTTTATACTTAGTAAAATGTATGAATATAACCAGCTAGGATAAACAATAAAAGAAGCATTTATTGATGTGGCTGGGGTGGGTGGTGTGTGTTTGTTTGGTATTTTGATTCAAATCCCTGACACAATATTGAGAGTTCTGAAGAAAAAAACAATCAGACAATTTTTAGGCAGGTATGGAAAATTGCTTTTCCTGTCGTCTTGATTTCCCACAATTACATAAGTAACATTATCTAAATTATTTGGGGTTTTTTGCCCTCAAAGAAGAACAGAAGCAGAAATAAGCAAGAGGTAAAATGGTATTTTTGCCATCCACCTGAACTGTTAGGAATAGTTCCGGATTCACTGGACTTCACACGACCAACACCATGGCCTGTGGAGCATTCTTTTCAGGGGCAAATAAATTTTGTGGTTGCAATGTTTCCTTTCAAACAGTACTCCTAATTATTCCAAATTCTATCGTGGAATGTAGTAAATGATTATTTTCCCTTCTTGATAATGAACACTTTGTGGTAATACTTATTTCTTGCCAAATGTTCTCATCTTTCAAGTCCAGTCAACATTTATTCGCTGCATTAGATGTTTTTTGTCAGTAACCTCAGCTAACAAACCTCAGCTAGAACACCATAGAGCTTTTCATGATGTCACCAAGCTTTTTATCGTACCACAGAGCTTGAGCACATGTCTCCCAAACATTCGACCCCCCTTTCAGGGCAGTGTGCTAGAGAGCTTGTTCCGCGGTCTGACTTGAGCATTTTGTGCTTTGCCCCTTAGTTTAGATCTCTTAGTTTCCCCAGGATGTGTTGTATCCACAGCATGTGAGCAGTTTTGACAGATGACCCCACAGCAGGGGTTTCAACCAGGGGCAATTTTGCCATCACAAGACATCTGGCAATTTTGGAGACATTTTGCTAGTCACAGTGGCTCAGGGAATGCTACTAAGTAGGGTCCAGGGATGCCACTCAGCTCCTACAATGTGCAGGACAGCCCCGCAGCAAAATCCACGATGAGGTCAGCGGTACCAAGGTTGAGAAACTCTGCCCTTATAGAACCAACGACTGAAAAACAAAACAAAAACCTGTTTTTATGAATAGCTACCACCAAAACTGCAGGCCTTGGCCCTCCGGGTGAGGGAGTGACTAATGCTGAATAACCTACCTCAAGGACCTTGGGGACTGCAGAATGAATGTGTGTTTAGAATGTCCTGCTGCCTTTGGGAACAAGACCTGGTTGCTGGCTTTTGACTTCCTGACTGAGTAGATTTTTCTAGGGTGCTGGGAAATGCTGGAGAGTCAGACCTGCTTCTTGAGAGAAAACCACTGTTCTCTGTCATTGCAGGAATTCAAAGAAGAGCCTGCCCCGTATGCTTACGGTTTACTGTTTCATTGGCAAAAAGCACTCAAAATTATGTATTTTAGGATTAAACCTGTTTTAAAAAAGAAACTAAGCAAAGGAAAAGGACTTAAAGGATATGATACTAATGGGGTAAACTGGCTGTGTTAGGGTGGTGGACGTCTCCAGGACTGTGTTCCAGTTTCCTTTAAAATTTCTATAACTAAAGGACACAGTCTCCTTTAAGAAGCCAAAGCTGAAAATCAGCACTGTCAATTATTTTGTGATTTGGGCACTTATGAAAGAAACATTATTTCTTCCCCTCTGAATAGGAATTCCCAGCACCAGCTCAGAGGACACCATGTTAGCCCAAACCCTGGGCCTCTCCTACTCCGAAGTCATTGAAACTTTGCCAGATGGTGCAGAGAGACTGAGCAATTCTGCAGAGGTGGGTGCCCCATGGTGTGGGCCTAAAAGCTTATGTCTAAAATGATGACCTTGATGTGAGTTTGAGAAGACGTTTTCCTTCAGATGCAAATTACAACCTGCCCCTTCACTGGCCCCGTACCTAACAATCTTGCAGTCTCCTATCTTCATCTACACAAACAAAATATCTAATGTTCTTCTTCAGGATCGAGAAGCTTATCATCTCTAAATCAAATCCAATCCTCGAATAGGATGGTATTGAAGTATCTGACTTTATTTTGGGAATCTCTGCTTCTTGGGAGAGGTGATAGAGAGTGACTCTTATTCCTAGAGAGGATGTCTATTCTTTCCAGATTACTGACTTTATTTCTGCCTTAAGTTTAACTCATTTACAAAAATGAGCAGAGAAGTTATGAGTCATGTTTATTTGATCAGCATTATCTAGCATGAGATGGCAGCGCTTGAAGATTGTGTATCTGGCAATAATTGAGCCCGGCCTCTATGTTGAACTAAGCTAGAAAGTATGATGAAAAAGGCAGAGTGAGGGAAGTGGGAGCAGTGATTCTCAAAGTGGGCACACATCAGAATCTCCTGGTGGCCTTGAGAAAGCATAGATTACCTGCCTGTTCCCTCTTCCAAAGATTGATTCAGTAGTCCCAGGTGAGACCCAAGAATTTGCATTTCTAACAAGTTTCCAGGTTCTGCTGCTACTGCTGCTGGTCCAGGGACTACATTTTGAGAACCTAGGGCCTAGCTTCTAGGCCCCAGAACCTTGCTACTCAAAGTCTCGTCTGGACCAGCAGCATTGGCATCACTTATTAGAAATGTGGAATCCCAGACTCAGCCCTGGTCTAATAAAATCTCTGTGTGATTGTGTGTGCATGCAGTTTGAGAGCACAGGCTCAGGGCATTCCTCTTAAACTGACTGCACCTTGGGAACACCTGGAAAGTTTTTATCACTACTGATGTAGGTTTCACTGCAGATATTTTGATTTGATGATTAGTGGTGGTGAGGGCATGGATCAGATATCACATGGTCAGAGCTCCTCAGTTGATTCTAAAGTGCATCAAAGTCTGGGAACTACTGGCTTAACATAGTGATTCCACACCTGGCCATGTCTCCAAGTCACCTGGGAGGTGCTTGCTGGCCCCAGCCTGAGTGATCCTGATTAGACCCAAAGATCCAGGTCTTGTAGGTTTAGGGCTACCAAGTTTTCTCCTTTATAGGAAGTGACAGTGTTTTCGGACCTCATGTTTGTGCCTTCACTTCATAAATTGCATCTCCAGACATGGATCATGCTCTAAGATATGGAAACTCAACCCTTACATGTTCAAGAGGCTCCCTGGAAGGGGGGCAGATCCATGCCACTGTATCTCAGGGAGCCCTGTTAACCCTCTGCAATGCAAGACCAATCCAAGACCAATCCTATGCTTCTGAAGTGCCCAGAGAGACACCCACTCCTCAGCCCAGGACTCTGAGCAGTAATTATGCTCTCTAGCTTCTTTCAGATAGCTTCAGCTGATCTATTAGCTCCTCTCCTGGCGCTAGACTAAGTAGAGGAATTCTCTCAATGAGTAGAAGAAGAATGGAGGGAGAAAAGCTGCGTTCATCTCTGAGCTTCTGGAACATAAAAACAGTGATGCATGGAAAAGATAGACTTTGAAGAGAATGTGTTATAGTTTGCATCATTACTCTGTGATAATGAGAGTGCAGAACATAGCAAATGTCTTCCGAGGTGTAAGTGGTTCCTTGGAAGCACTGGACCTCAGAAGACATTTCAGAGCTTTCATGAAGAGGGCTACTTTTGATAACAGCTGTATTTTCTTAGTCTCTATGCCTCATAACCATACACTCCTTGAGGACACGGGCAGATCACATCTATCTTTGTGCCCCACTGCCTAACACAAGCCAAGATGTAGCATGTGAACAGACTGTCTTCATTGAGTGGATTCCAGAGTACCCACAGTCTAGGTTGTTAGCAACCACACTGGTTCGATTCATGGAATGAGTTTGCCTCTCTGAACAGCATCAGATGAAAAGAGAATTTCTCATTTGTACTGTTAGTGTTCTGCCCTGCTGTCTATAAAATGGGAACATTTAAATCTAAAAAGAGTGGTCTGGCTCTTCTGGCCAGCTGAGGCCCCACTTTGTTCCTCTGTTCACCTGAATTCCTTCTGCTTTGGAATTATATTGAATTTTCCTTTTCTGGATATTTTTTCCCACAACAAGGGAGTAGTCATTAAAAATACATGTCATGCAGTTTTTTACAGGCAGCTAAAAGCTGCTATTTGATTACCTCTGTAGGTACACAGAGCTCCAGTGATAAGGAGTGCCACAGAACCAGGGCCATTAGACGTGGCAGACCCAGTGCCCAGGGCCCAGAATACTTTTAGAGACCCTGAAAAGGTTTTAATCACTTTTAAAATCAGAAAAAAAGAAAACCCCACACTTTCAGGTCAAAAATTATATAAGTATTTGTCTTTATATCAATGCTGTTATAAAATAAAATTTGCAATATTATCTTAAGGAGAAAAATGCCTACAGAGGCAAGAGCACCTAGGAAGGGCTCATGAAAGTCATAACACAGCTCTGCACAGAACTGTCCGGGGAGGCTCCACACAAACATGGCCGTGTGGGGCTGCGGCGCTGGGGGGTAACTTGTCTCATGCAGGGAGGAATGACTCTTTCCTTTCCTTCTCAGTTCACAGGTATGACCCGGCAGGATGCTTTTCTAGCCCTGACTCAGAAAGCCCGGGAGAAGAGAGTGGGTGGAGACGTGACAAGTGATAAACTGAAAGACTGGTTAATATCGAGGCAGCGGTACTGGGGCACGCCAATCCCCGTTGTCCACTGCCCAGCCTGCGGTTCTGTGCCTGTGCCTCTGGAGGACTTGCCCGTGACCTTGCCCGACATCACATCTTTCACCGGCAAGGGAGGCTCCCCACTGGCCAGGGTTTCAGAGTGGGTGGACTGCTTCTGCCCAAGGTAAGGACTCATATCTTTGCAGTGGTGGTGGTGCTGTGGTGCCAGTACCCTGCTGGGGTTTTAGATGCACCCCCTCCTTCCTGCTGTTCACTCTGCTCCTTTTTCCATGACTTCCACCAGCCTGGAAAGAATACCTCAGGTGTTTTGAGAGAAGGGTCTGGAATCTGTGGCTCAGCTCCTATGATGGGCACCCTTTCCCCTCGTCTGAACTGATGGAAGCAGCAGTGTCAGTTCAGATCTACCCCCAGAAACATCTGATCTGACTGATGGAAAAGCTCCAGATTTTTCTGATAACTTTGCAGAAAACCACCTTCTTCCATTTTATATTACAAAGAGCTTCTTGGAAATGAAAGAAAGTGTTTTTTCTTCTCTGCCTTGCAGTTTTTCAATAAAGTGACTATGATAACAGTGGAGATTTTATCACAAGTAGCAGAATGGTAGCTAAGACAGCATGCATGCTTGGGGCTTCATTCTTTAATATACTGAGACACAACATATTTCCCTTTCTTCTCATTTTGGAGGTGGGATTATATTTTTCTGTCAATTCCTTGGAATGTCTCAAGTGTGATTTTTATGCTGCCAGATCAGCTGATTAAATAAATAAATAGCCAATATGAAGCTCCAGTATTTTCCTTCTTCCTTTGTGGAGAAGCTATTATTCTCTGCCTTATACATCATGAGGAGGATGTTTTAAAATAATTTAGGTCTCTGCCAGTATAAAGCTGAGTTAATCCATTGGCAATTAAGTAGCCACACAGTGTAATTGAAAGTCTCAAGCTGGGAAGTCAGACAGTAATGCATTCAAGTCCTGGCTCTGCCTGCTAACCAGCTGTCTGGCCTTAGGAAAGTCATTTACCTTCCCTGAGCTTCAAGTTCCTCAGTTAGAACTAAAATAACCCCCTTGAAGGGCTGTTCAGAAGACGAGAATTAACACATGTAACTCTGCACAGTGGCACCTAGCAGGCGATCAGTAAATGGAAACATTGCAGCCATCCCACCCGGGATCTGCCACCCATCCTCCCAGGTCCTCACTCACGTGATTTTGAAATTCAAGATGGTGCTTGTAGACCAGAACATAGGAAGCCCTGGGCTGTGGTAGGGTAGAAATGTGGATTCTGGGAAGAAAATGGCACACGCTCTGTGCTGACAAGCAGGGTCGCCCTCTCAGAGACTGTGGTGGCCTGCCTCCAGTACAGCTGTTGCAGTTGTGTTGGTGAGGATAAGGTTTCCTGCCCTAGCTGCAGAATCCAGGAGGGCAGAGGTTAGGCCCTGGTACAGGTCAGGACCCTAGTCTAGATGATCCTAATGAGCTGCCAAGGCTGAGAGCCCCTGAGCCAGTGTGGCCAAGTGAGACAGCATGGAGGCCTGGATGGCCTCAGAGTTGTCCAATAGACATGGATTCCTTACTCTTGAGCTCCAAGACCTTAACTTCTCTGGGCCCTCCTTGTGCATCTGTAAAATGGGGATATGAGTGGTATCTGCCTCATAAGCCCTAGGTTTATGGGGGATTCTGTGGGCTAATACTTGTGAAGTATTTGACTCAGAGCTGCTACCCAGTAGTTTAATTAGTATTACTGTTGGGCCAGTACTGGTAACACTATCACCATCTTCTAGCCCTCCCACTTACCAAGTGGCCTCTAGTTTTTAATATAAGCATAGCGAGTGTTAACCAGATGTTATTTCTTTTATAAATTGAGCCCTGCATTTTCTTCCTCACTTGTACCTCACTTTGTACAAGGTAGATGAGGAAGAAGAAGTAACCTTTATCTTCTAATTATTTCCCAGAATAGTACCTGTATTCTGGTTGATTGGTCTCCAAATAAAAAGACCTGGCTTTAGATTAGAAATGCACTGTCGAGACCAGCTTCTTACAGCAGCCCTGGCTGGTAGGTAACAGGATTCCCTGAGGGTTCTCTCTAACAAGCTCCTACCTTCAGGGACCACCACTGTTACCAGTGGGAGGCCCCCTGATTAAAATGCAGGAGACCCTTAGGGGGTGTCCCAGAGCCTTGCCAGTTCTGGGCTCCCATGCTGTCTGCTCTGCCACTTGCATTTAATCAACTGGCTTGGGGACAGGGGGATGGAGTGGTGGTGTTGGCTTTTCTTTGGATAATATTTATAAATCCAGTATGGACTACTTCACAAGATATGATTGCAACTTTTATTTTTAAGTTAAAAATAGACTCAAGCTCTTATGTGCTAAATTAACAGAATATTCACCATTCCTCTTAGGATTCCTCATACTCCTCCTCAAATTCCCCAAGAGCCCTTAAGGATATACAGTGTCCCAAGTGCAGTATTTAGGGAGATAGTTGGCCTCAGAAGGGAGAGCCTGTGTCTGAGGTGTGTATTTCTGCTGTGGCTTCTTGCTGCCACACAGGGGTGATGGTTGGCTCTACCCATCAGGCTGCAGGTGCTGGTCCACTGCCCATGGGGCCTTCAGGAGTTGTCAAGGGGACTGAACACTCTCCGTACGAGGCCTAGACTCTCCATGCTCTCTTGTGTTCCTAGGTGGTAAGGCCTTGGCATCCAGTTCTTTCAGTCTCACAGGCCCACACCCTGGGAATATTGTTAAGAATTAATGTAGCATTTGGGCCCCTGTGAGACCTTGGTTCTCTCCAGGTATCTCCATGTGTAGGACAGGCATTGCTTCTTCTGTTCAACCCTTCACACACCAAGGATCTTACTTTCTTCTCTACTCTCTTCACCCGCCTGTAAGGAAACTAAGTTTAGGCAGTGGTGGTAAATATGTAATAACCAGCTCTCTGATTTATAGTGTTTGCCAATTTCTGTGTTGTTCATACTCCCACCAGGGCTAATTTCAAGCTACCAGCTTGACGTCACTTGTCAGTGTTGGGAAGACATGCTAACAATTGATTCTCACAAGCTGGTGTGAGCTGGCTTCAGCACACCTCTGCCTTTGGGGCTTCCAAGGTGATTTGTCATCCTCAGATCATCCCAGTGGGCTCCTCCAACCCCCACCGTAGAGCAGAAGTAGAGAAAAACAAGTTTATTTTCAACACATCTCTCTACATTTGGTTTTCAGTTCTCTTCATGTGTCAGTTTGCTTTCTAAGCATCATAAAGTAGGCATTGGCTGGACGCAGTCTTGACATGCCTCAAATAGCAGTTAATGCATAAAAGAGACACTTAATCATGTATTGTCCTTTTGGGTGGTTAGATTTTCTACCCGCTTCAATTCAGAGAAATATAAGGATAAGGTTTTTAATTGTTAAAGATTGAAACTTTTATTTTGAAAATTTCTTTAAAATATCATGTACCATATACTCCACAAAGAGAGCTTTCTCTGAATTATCTTTTTATGATGTGACATTATTCTTATGCCATTTTAAATTCATACTCATTGTCATAGCTCTCTCAAAGGCTAGTGGAGAAACCACATTAAAATTTAAAAAGAAACCAATTGATGAACTTCATTTATTTCTTAGGTGCAAGGGAGCAGCCAAGAGAGAGACAGATACAATGGACACCTTTGTTGATTCTGCCTGGTACTACTTCAGATACACGGACCCCTGCAATCCCCACAGGTAAAGCCTCTGTGGAAGTCTTTGAGCATCTGTCACTTTGGGTTCTCTGAGAAAAAAAGACCAGGATGGAATGAGTGTACAAAAGATGTCCTGAGGGTAATGTCTGTGCCAGAGAAATGGGAGAGGGGCAGGAGTAGGGGGGGCCAGATCTTAGGCTAAGTGCAGATGTGACAGATGTGACAGGTGTGATGAGAAGGAGGAAGGATAGGAAGAAGGAGCTTCAGACCACTACCCAGTTCTGGGGAAGTCTCAGCCCCGCCTCTGGGAAGCCCGGATGAACGCTTGTTCTCCAAGACCCAAGTCAGGCAGAAACAGCTCTGGTCTAGTCCCCTCTCTCTGGTCTCCTGGTAGCAGCCTGGGAGAGCACAGCCAGCAGGAACACCAAAGTGAGTCTGCTTCAAAACAGGCTCTCTCAGAGGAAGTGTGTTAAATTATTAAATTAGATTATTTACAGTCAGTAATCCCAAGTATAAGACAAATAAAAAACAGAAAAGGGAAGGAAATGCCATTGTAATACCTTCCTTGCAGTGAACTGTGAACTGCATTTATATGATTGTAAAGATGAAATGGTATTTATTTAACAGGAAAAAAATGCTGTAATTATAGAGGGAGGGAAGGAAGCAGGGAGCGGCTTCTAGAAGGAGCCTCTTATTGCATGCAGTCAATAGGTAATTTCCAATCAATAAATCAGTAAGAGTATGAACAGTTTTACAATAACTGCCAGGAGGAATAGCCAAAAGAATTAAAGTGACTAAGGGAAAGGCCTGGGGGAAGAGAAGAATGGGGGTGGAGACCACTGTTTTTCATTATAAACCTTTCAGTGCTATTTTATTTTTCAGCTATATTTGTGTGTTTCTTTGACAAAAACAGAAGTAACAGATTAAGGGAAAGAGAGCAGTAGGTAGCTAGGGAAAGAGAGAATGAGAAACCCTAAAGGGAGCCCTTCCAGAGCCCAGGAAAAACACAGCACTGTGATTAAAAGGACTTGCCAGATTGTTCTTGTCCCTGGTGGAAATTTCCAGAACCCTGTTGACTACATATAAAAAACCCCTCTTTTCTGCATTGCTTGTAAAGTTAACATTCTTCCATTGAGATGGGTGGTCCTGCCCTTGCCCTGACAGAATTCTGGGCCATAGTACTGTGATTCTGTAGTCTGAGTGTACATATATTCCAGAAATAAGTGAGATCCTGAGTAAATGGTACTGTGCAAAGGTAGGAAGGGTACAAGGTGATGCTATGGCTGGAACCCCAGCGTCACCCTCTCTAACCCACAGAGGGGCTCCTCTTCTGCGCCTTCCTTCTAGAAGGAGCCACTGGTGTATTCCATTTAATAACAGCTGGCTCAGGCTGCAAGGGGAGTCACTCTCACCTCCTCAGAGTGCTTCAGTGGAAAGCCTTCTTATAGGTTAGAGTCCGAATTACAGTGATGGGACCTTCCACTGGCGGGATACATCCCACTTGTGAATTTCACCAAGGCTCCACTTCTCTCCTGCAGCTGCTGCAGCACGGCTCCATTTCTCACTTGATGCTTTCCTGAGTAGATCAGAAATCAGAGCTATAGCTTCTTTCAACATGTCACTCCTTAATTTATCCCAAACTTGTTTTCTGGCTAAATACCATCCTTCAGTTCCCCTTCTTTTCTGTCGCCAGAATTGGCAGTTGAATTTCTTTAAGGAACTATTAATTTTACCAGAATCCTGGCACAGTGACAGGAGGAGAGAACACCAAGCTACATTCAGACACAGACGTGTGTGGTGGTGGCCAGGTGTGCCTCCTGCCAATAGGTTCTTTTGCCTCTCTTAGGGCAGGACCCCACTGACAAAAAGGGGCCTGCGATATGGGGGAGATGATTCACCAATGCTTGAAATTCCCCCAAGGCAGAAGTTTTCTTGATTGGCTGACCTCAAAAGAGGACATTACTTTGCAAATGAAGAAGTCTGTCACCAGCCAACACTGCCCCCTATTCTTGAGGGTTCCAGCCAGAAAGTAGAGGGCAGTGACGTTGCCTTTCCTCTCCAGTGTCCGTTAGTACCTGGGAGTTTAAGGGAAGCCTTTTGTTCAGTATCTGTTGGCTAAAAATTATCTATAATATGAGAGAGAGTTATTGGGTTCTTTTATGACAATTTACCCTAACTATGTTTAATTGCATTCAGTGAACCATATACAGGCTCTTACTATCTGTATTTTAAGGCTACTTTTAAAAACAAGATTGATTTTCTGTTTTAAAACGAGCACTTAGTAGCCGCATGTTACTCTCCATTGCAAATGCCACATTGCCCTCTATTGGTAAGAACTCAAAAGTTTCATTTGTCTAATCATAATAAAAATTAAAATAAATCTAGATATTCCAATATGCGTTGTACTGAGATACCTTTTTTGCTAGTATATTTTCGTCTTGTCCTCATCCTCCACCCCCAAGAGAAAGACAGGGTCTCATGTTGTCACAGAGGCTGAAATGCAGTGATGCGATCAGTACTCACAGCAATCTTGAACTCCTGGGCTCAAGTGATCCTCCCCCCTCAGCCTCTGGAGTAGCTGGGACTATAGACACCAGCCACTACACCCAACTAGTTTATTTTTTTGTTGTTCTGTTTTGTTTTGTAGAGAAGAGGTCTATGTTGCTCAGGCTGATCTTGAGCTTCTGGCTTCAAGTGATCCTCCTGCCTTGGCCTTCCAAATTGCTGAGGTTACAGGGTTGAGCCACCACACCTAGCCTTCTTTGTCCTCATTTTATATGAAAACTGCATTTGTTAAAATGTTTCAATAATGTCTTCTGTTAATAGTTTTTATAAATTGTATAAATTAATGCTGATCTGCCTTTTTTTTCTTGTTTATTATTAAGCTTTTCTCTTACTATATTTTAAAAATAAAATCACCATTTTTCATTGGCATAGTTCATTTCAGGGAATGTACAATATTATATTATTATGATTTGTCTACTTTGTACAATGTCAGCAAAGCAGATTTCAAAAGTTGCCCATTTCTCTTTCTTCAGCCCCTTTAACACAGCGTTGGCAGATTACTGGATGCCTGTGGATTTGTACATTGGAGGGAAAGAACATGCTGTCATGCACTTGTTCTATGCAAGATTCTTTAGTCATTTTTGTCATGATCAAAAGATGGTCAAACACAGGTAAGCATTTATATTACTTTCCAAAAGAATTCAGTTCTGTGAATGGCAACTTGAAGCAGATGTCAGTTCTTCTGAAGGTAGCAAATATATATAGCTGAAGAATCCTATTTGTCTTGCACACTTAGAGGTCATTGTCAGCCTTAACCATTTGAGGTACATTTATATTGCTTAATCAGTTCTGGCATGTGATGCTGCAAGCTTGCATAGAACCTAGCCTCCAGTGCTTCTCTGTTTAACTTAGTTAGGTAATTTGAGGTGGTTACTTGTGGGGCAGAGGAGTGGTCCATTATGTTTGTGGCTTTTTATAGTATCTCACATGAGGTCCTGCTTGTCATCTGGTCCCTCTATTTAAACTCTGTTTCTAAGCTTGCCTAAATCCTGCTTATATGTCACTCTGATAAATGTAAATAAAGGACGAGAAGATAGAGAATCATATTATAAACCCATTGATAAATTCTTAACCTGTTAGCCTATAATCTGTGCCTTATGCTGTTCAGAAAAACATGTGTGTGCTTTTTTCCCATGAAATACATCACATACATATAAACAATATATTTAATGTACTGTATAATTTAAAGAATAAAATGAACATACATGTCCCACTCCTTGGTTTAAGAAATAGAATATTACAGGTACCTTAGAATACCCAGGGTGTTCAATCATATCGTCCTTCTTCCTGAACCCACCACCCATCCTCTCACTAACTCCTATCCTGAATTTTGAATTCTTCCCTTTTTTGCATTTCTCTACAAGTTTTTAAATAAGACACATCACTGGTTCCTATGTTTGAACTTTACGTAAGTGGAATCATATTTTATGTAATCTGTCTTGCTTTCCTCTCTCAACTTCTTTTGAAATTCAGCAATGTTGATACATGAACTTATATTTCATTCCCATTTCACTCTGCATGGTATTCCATTATATGGGATAGAATTTCCAATACAGCACTTGGTTTTTGTGTCCATACCACCGTTAGTGGTTGTTGAACTGTTTTGTGAACACTCTTGCTCATGGTTCCTGACAAATGTGTGTCAGCGTTTGTTTAGAGTGTGTACTTCCCAGTAGAGTCACTCAGTGGTAGGGTATGCACATGCTCCAGTTCACTAAGAGACCCCAGACGATTTTAGTGGTTATATAACCTCCGCTCCCATCTCTACATCTTCATCAGCACTTTGTACTGTCTAATCTTTCACCAGATCCGTGGTTATATAATGGGTCTCTTTATGATTTAAATTGGAATTTAAAGACACTGATTACTTAATAAAGTTTAGCATGTTTTTAATATGTTTTGAATCTCTGTATTTCCTTTGCTATTCAATCTTTGTTTGTATCCTTGGCTTTTAATTTTTCTGGATTGTTTATCTTTTATTGATTTATAGTAGTTTTTTTGTTCGTTTGTTTGTTTTATTTAGAGACAGAGTCTCACTTTATCACCCTCGGTAGAGTGCTGTGGTGTCACAGCTCACGGCAACCTCCAACTCTTGGGCTTAGGCAATTATCTTGCCTCAGCCTCCCAAGTAGCTGTGACTACAGGCACCCACCATAACGCCTGCCTATTTTGTTGTTGTTGTTATAGTCACCTTCAGTGTATGGGGCCTGCACCCTACCCACTGAGCCACAGGCACCGCCCAGGAGTTTTTTTTTAATATTCTGGATACTAATCCTTTTTTCAGCTATATGTATTGCAAATTTGTTCTTTTTTTATTTCTTGGCTTGTTTTATTTTTATGGTGCCTTTTGATGGACAGATATTCTTTTTTTTTTTTTTTTTTTT